CTCCGCGGCCCCACAGCGACGCAGTAGTGCGCACCCCTCCTGGCGACGGGGTTTCAACACTCGCAGCCGTCCCAGCGGCACGCTGGCACAACCCGCCCGCACAAGACTCGAGACGGGAGGCATGCCAACGGCACCCCCTATCTGTGCGCCCCGAGGACATCCCCGCCGCCGCGAGGCGGCACGCCTTCCGGCGGAAAATCGGCGGCGCCACTCCTGTCAGGCCCTGTAGGAGCTAGAAAAAGCAGGGGTGGAGTTCACAACATAGAGGTCAAACAATCCACCCCCATATGAGCACCCCGACACACGAAGTCGTTTAGTAAACGCGCCCAGAGGAGGAACCGAACAGGGTAGTTAGTGCTGTTTATGAAACGCCCAGGGCCATTTAGTAAACGCCAATTGTCCGGTACGGGTGGCTCCTCTGACTTGCATGACCCACCCATGCCAACAGAACACAGGCGAGAAGAGGCTCTACCGCGGAATCCTGCCCGCGGCCTGGCGCGGCGGCGAGCGAGGGGGGGGGGAAGAGAAGGAGGAGGAGGAGGAGGAGGGGGAGGAGGAGAGGAGGGGGAGGAGGAGGAGGAGGAGGAGGAGGAGGAGGAGGAGGAGGAGGAGGAGGAGCAGGAGCAGGAGCAGGAGGAGCAGGAGTAGGAGAGGGAGGTGGAGGCGGCCCCAGGCCACGACGCGCCGCGCGCCGCTCCACGCCCCCCCCCGCCTGCTCAGCAGGCCGGGGGCACCGGAACTCGGCCCGACCACCGTGCGAGGCACGCGGTGCGATTCTCGCCAGCGCTCGGGTGCCCATTCCCCCGTGCGCCAGTCGGCGTCGTGCGCTTCTGCTCTCGCAGGATGCTCCACAGCATGATGTCCAACATGCACCTCGAAGGCCCTGGCCGAGAAAAAAACGCACACGCCCGAGCGAAGCCAAGGACTGCGCACTGGGCCCAGGAACCGCTCTCTCCCTCCACCCCCGCCCCCCCCGCGCCCGAGCCCCCGCAGGCCCGAGGGCCAGGCGGCGCACAACCAGGGGCCTCCCCCGGGCACGGAGGAGGAGGAAAAGGAGGAGGAGGAGCAGGACGAGGAGGAGGAGGAAGGGGAGGAGGAGGAGGAGGAGGAAGGGGAGGAGGAGGAGGAGGAGGAAAAGAGGAGGAGGAGAAGGAGGAGAAGGAGGAGAAGGAGGAGGAGGAGGAGGAGAGGAGGAGGAGGATGAGGAGGAGGACGAGGAGGAAGAGGAGGAGGAGGAGGAGGACGAGGAAGAGGTGGAGCGTAGCTGGGGGCGACGAGTCTCCTCCACCTCACTCGCCCTCCCCCAGGACGACGGGTGACCCCGGGCACCTTCGGGCAACTCGGGGAGGCGCCCTGGCAGGCGCACCACTCGGGCGCCCCAGGGGAGCGCCCTGGCAGGAGCCCCTGGCTTGCCCCTGGTGGGGGACAATAGAGCGCAGCAGACGACTCGAGGCTGAGCTCGGTGCTCGCCCACGGCGTGCTCTGACACGCCGCTAACACATTACGGCATCTTGACCGCGCTGCGAGAGGCCATGGGCCCACCGGTGTCGCGCGTCGCGCTGCCACCCGCAGTGACGGGGGAAGCGTCCTGGCAGGTACGGTACCTTCGGGCTGTCCCGGGGAAGGCGTCCTGGCGGGTACGATGCGATAGAAGCTCGACCACGAGAGGCCTTCCACAGGAAGCCCCACCGTGAGACTCCAGGCCGCCCATTGATCCTTGGTGTGGGAACGCCATGCCTCCAACAGCAAAAGCATCGGAACCGAAACGAAACTCGTTGCCCCCTGGAGGCGAACAGGGTGCTGCTCGGCACGGGCTTCCACTGTGCACTCGGCGGGGCCCCCGCGTTCCGCCGAAGGGCCCCCCCCCTCCCCACGCGTGGAGGTCTGGAGCAGACTCCAGCTCCCTAGGGTTAAGTCGGGCGTGTCCCCCTAAGGGGGGATTTTCGACGAAAAATAAAACATACCCCAGAAATACCCCAAAATGTTCAAAACATGCTCAAAGAAAAGTCCCCAGACTATTCTTGGACTATTTTTTGATTATTTTGGGGGCATTTCGTATTTTTCATCGAAAATCCCCCTGTGGGGGGACACGCCAGACATAACCCTAGGGGCGCGCGTGGGTGCTGCCCCGGCCCGCCGCCCAAGCCCTGGGGGCGGGAGGGAGACGTAGGGGGCCGATGCTCGTGCCTCCGCGAGCCGTGAGGGCAGCACCGAGGGGCCGACAGTTCAGGCCAACACAGGAGGTCGCGAGGGGGAAGAAAGGAGGGGAGGCGCTCGACAACTGTTCGGGGGACGACCGCACACTCACACACACACACACACAGAGAAAAGTGGGGAGGCGAGGCAGAGGGCCCCCCGAAACGAGCCAGGCGGCCAGGGATCTCCGACGGACCCCGGGCCAGGCTCCACGGAGTAACGCTTACGGTGCTCGCTGGAGAAGGGGGAAGGGGAGGAGGAGGTGCATGAGCAGAGTGAGGAGAAGCAAAGGCGTGGGGCTCTGGGAGCCTCCCGAAGACCCAGGAAAACTCTCGAGAAGAGGTACGGAGGCACAAAAGGTTTGGAGGTGTGTATATATATATATATATATATATGTATAACACTGCGTGCATACATGTATGCCAACATACAAATGTGTGTCGGCAACCGCGATCCTCCCGCTCTTCCTCATCCTGCTCCTCCTCCTCCTCCTCGACTGCATTGCCATCATCGTCGTCGTCAGCATCATCATCATCATCATCATCATCATCATCAGCAGCAGCAGCAGCAGCAGCATCGTCCTCATCGTTATCATCATCATCATCATCATCATCATCATCATCATCATCATCATCATCATCAGCAGCAGCAGCAGCATCATCACACTCATAATCATACTCATCATCATAATCAGCAAAAACATCAGCATCAGCATCAGCAGAATCATCATCACCAATCGCGTCGTCAGCATCATCAGCATCAGCTGCAGCACCATCAGCACGAGCACCATCATCATCATCATCATCAGCAGCAGCAGCAGCATCAGCAGCATCCTCATCATCATCTTCGACATCAGCATCATAATCATCATCACCCTCATCATCATCAACAACGCCATCACCGCACAAATCAACACCATCATGATTCTCATCATTAGTAATGTCATCATACACCGCCTATCATCCACCACATATCATCCGCAGCAGCTGTATCAGCATCGTCACCAACCTCAACATCAACATCATCACCTCCATCAACATAATCATCAACAACCGCATCCTCGTCAGCAGCATCAATCTCAACATCATCAGCAGCATCCTTATCATCATCATCATAATCGTCAGCATCATCAGCATCAGCACCATAATCACTAACGCCATCATCAGCAACGCCACCATTACCATCACCATCACCATCATCATCATCATCATCAGCATCATCATCATCATCATCATCATCATCATCATCAGCATCATCATCATCACGATCCCCCTTCCCCGAGCCCCTTCCCCGGCGCGCGGAGCAGGGGTGAGAGGTGTGCTTAGGTAATTACATATGAGCGTAGAAGTCACATGACTGCAGCAAATTACACCAACAATAAACCCCAATCAATGGATGGTTTGAAATGGGATCGATCGGTCGATCGTGAGACCGAGAGTGAAATCGATCCAATGAGACCGATAGGAAGATCGATCGCGAGATCGCTCGTGCGATCTCTAGTGAGATCGCTTGCGAGATCAATTGTGAGATCGATGGTGAGATCGACAGAGAGGTGGGAAATGAGATCGATGATGAGACCGATCGATAAGATGATCGACCAAGAACCCGGGAACCTGGGAACCTCGCCGCCCACCGAAATCGGCCGGGGAACCGGGAACCCGGGAACCTGGAACCGGGAACCCAAGAACCCAGCGTGCGACCAAAATCGGCGGGAAACTGTCGCCAAATCCTTCAACCTCCGCTAGGACCCCTTCGGTGCAAGCACTGATTGGGGAAATACCCGCTAGGACCCCTTCAGTGCATGCACTGATTGGGGAGAAAGGAGGACACTAAGCCTGACTTGAGGGTGGCAGGCAGCCAGAGGAGATGAACAAGCCCACACCGACGATGTTCCTCCCTTGTTTGCGCCTCTGGGGGACCTCCCAGGGGAGCTCGTCGCCACTGCGGCTGGATTCGCCTCAGAATCCTGGTCAAAGCGCGTTCCAAGAGAGGTCCAGGAAGTAGCGGCACCCACCGCTCGGAAGAAGAGGATAGAAACATGAAGTAGGAAGGCGTTGAAAGTAGATTGGATTTCTGCTCGCCCCCTGAAAATGAAGGAAAAGGAAACAATCCGATCATTAAAATAGGAGGGCGCCACAATTGAATTCAGCTTGGGATCTGGGAGCCCCCAATATACATATGTTCCACGAGCTGCGGGTGCTGGCATATGTTTGTTACCGCAGTCAGGTGGAGAAGTCTGGGCTGGAAGGGGGGCAAGGAAAGGCGACAATCTGGCGGCGCGCACAAGGGGGGAGGGGGAGGGGAAGGGCGTCTTAGAAGGAGGCTACTTCTCAGAAGGCGCCCGCCTTACAGCTGCAGGCAAGGCCCGCACCTTCTAAGAAGCAATGGTGCTTCTGAGAAGCCGTCCCGCCTTCTCCCTGCCCCCCGTCTGCGCGTGGCCGAACAATCACGTGACCCTCAAGGGCACCGCCCCCTCCTGCCGATGCTCCTGGCGCGACGCGCCCCGGCGACCTCCGTCAGCCTGGAAAGGGCGAGCACACAGAAATCTAGGGGGCAGAGGAGGGCCGAAGCTCGCTCTCCAGGGAAGGGCCCAGGGACACATTAAAAAAGACACACACGCATCCCAAGATTCCCCACAGTTTCCTATATGTTCCGGAGGTTCGTCTTCCCCTCCACTTCCCATAGTTTCCTGCATTTTCCTGGGAATCGACGCTGAATTGTGTCTGTGTCTGGTTCTACCTCCTGATCCAGTTCCCCAGAGACAGGCACGGAGCACGCGGCACGCGGCATGGGGGTGGCGACACCTTGCCCATGCTCGCGAGGTGCTTCAGCATCAAGAACTCTCCAGCGACGATGGGGTCATACAAAGGGCTCTCGCCCTTGCTGATGCAAGACGGGATGACCTCGCTCCACCAGGGCGAAGCCCGGCCGTTCCGCTTACAAGTGCTCTCGCCCGAAGATCTCTCCCAGTATGCTCCATTGAGCGGGATTCGCCAATAAGTAAGAGAAAAGAGCCAGAAGGGCCCCTCGAAGACCCCACCACGGCATCGACGACTACGAAATTCGTTGAACAATCCATTGACGACTGCGCTAGGGATGCAATCGGAATCGGGAACACCTCCTCCTGCTGCCCCTGATGCCACTGCTGCTTCTACTGCTGCTACTCCATCCTCGCCACTCCGAACTCCTCCTCCTCCAGAGGTATCCGCAAATCTTCGTGACTCCACGGAATGTCGGCTTATCCTCTGATATCCCGAGGGACCTGCAGAAGCCGAAAGAGGTAATCAGGAGATCTTGCGCATGTGCAAATAATGCAGATACATACATGTCACGACCTGCATGACATTGCACACATCTATGTATAAACAAACATGTATACACATACATGTGCGCATGCATGTGTGTATATCGGAGGTGAGGGGGTGAGATCGAAGTGGAACGGAGAGCCCCCCTACTGGGAAATCGATTTCGGTTTCGTGTTCGTGCGTGCCGTGCGGGCGAGGCGAAGCTGCGTGGGCGGGCGAGAGAAAGTCTCCTGTGGCTGAGGCGCGGCCGGACCAAATGTCTCCCTTCCGGGCGGCCGGGGCCCGCGGTGTCCCGCCGGTGTCCCGCTGGTGTCCCGTGTGGCTGAGGCGCGGCCGGACCAAATGTCTCCCTTCCGGGCGGCCGGTGGCCCGCGGTGTCCCGCCGGTGTCCCGCCGGTGTCCCGCGGTGTCCCGCGGTGTCCCGCGGTGCCCCGCGGTGTCCCGCCGGTGTCCCGCGGTGTCCCGCGACGATGATGATGATGATGATGATGATGATGATGATGATGGTGGTGGTGATGATGATGATGATGATGATGGTGATGCTGATGCTGATGATGATGATGACGATGATGATGATGGTGATGCTGATGGTGATGATGATGATGATGAGGAAGATGATCATGTATGATGATGGTGGTGTCCCGATGATGATGATGATGATGATGATGATGATGATGATGATGATGTCGATGATGGTGATGATGATGACGATGATGATGATGATGCTGATGGTGTCCCGATGATGAGGATGATGATTATCATGATGATTATGTTGATGATCATGATGGTGACGATGATGGTGTCCCGATGATGATGAGTATGATGATGTTGATGTTGATGATGCTGATTATGATTGTGTCCCGATGATGATGATGATGATGTTGATGATGATGAGGTTGATGATGATTATGGCGTCCCGATGATGGTGATTTTTCTGATGGTGATGATGATGATGTTGATGATGATGGCGTCCCGATGGTTATGATGATGATGTTGATGCTGATGTTGGTAACCATGGTGATGGTGCCCCGATGATGACGATGATGATGCTTATGGTGATGTTGATGATGCTGATGATGATGATGATGTCGATGATGAGGATGAGATGATGATGATGGTGTCCCGATGATGATGATTATGATGATGATGATGATGATATCGATGGTGATCATGATGGTGCCCCGATGATGATACTGCTGCTGATGATGATGATGACGATGACTGTGTCACGATGCTGCTGATGATGATGATGATGCTGATTGTGATGATGGTGATGATGATGATGATGATGGTGGTATCCCGATGATGTTGATGACCGTGATGATGATGATGATGCTGATGATGTTGGTGTTGATGATGAGGACGGTGGCCCGATCATGATGATGTTGGTGATGATGATAGTGATGTTGATGTTGTTGATGATAATGATGACGTTGATTGTGATAGCGGTTGTGATATCGATAGTGAGATCGATAGTGAGACCGAATGTGATATCGATTGTGAGATCGATTGTGAGATCGATAGTCAGATCAATTGTGAGATAGATCGAGTGAGATCGATTGTGAGATCTATCGAGGGAGATCGATCGAGCGAGACCGATACTGAGATCGATAGTGAGATCGATAGTGAGACCGATCGAGTGAGACGTTGGTTCCTCCTCCCCCCCGCACCTCCTTATCACCCGAAGGGTGGTCGTATAGGTATATATACACATATGCATAACCACGTGCGCGTCGCGTGGGCTTGGGTGTGGACACGGGGCACGTCAGCTTCACAGCACACTAGGTGTATGGGCAAAGCTCCGCCGCGAATATCAGGCGGGGATGTACGGGCACAGTCGCATAGGCACACATGTTATTCCTTGAATGTCTGACCTTCCCACAGATCACAATGACAAGACGAACGGTGTTACACTGTCCCTGCGTGCGTGACTGACATGGGGATCCGCGGTCCCGATTCTTCTTGTTGAATGTTTGTTCTTGTTGTCGTCGTCCTCGCCCGTGCCCCCCCCCCGAGACCCCCACGCAACTCACCCGCGACCAACCAACGACCCACCTCGTGCCAACCCCTTCACTCTCATCCGCAACTGCGAAGTCCTGCGTCCACACGCAAACATGCATGCATGCATGCATGCATTCATACATATGGCCGATTGTGGAAACCCTGAACCCAAAAACGTTTCCGACTACCTACCAGACCACCCCAACCCAACCCGAAGACCCGAATTTGACCCGAATTTCGGGTTGGGGGGGGTACGGATACCATGTGTTTTTTCAACGTTCCCCGACCCCCCCCCACTGGAAATCGAGGATAAATTTGGGCCTTCGGGTTGGGTTGGGGTGGTTTGGTGGGTGGTGAGTTTCCATCCCTTGGGAGGTCGACTTTTGCTTCCGCCGCCTTCCGCTGGCCTTCCGCCGGCGGAGGCGGCCTCGGTGGAGCTTCTCCGCCGCTCCGCCGCCCTCCGCCGAGGAAGAGATGCCCACTCCTTCGATCCTCGAAGCCGAGGCCCGTGTTGCGCCTCACATGACTAACCAAAAAAGGACACCTGACCCTTTGGGAGGAGACCAAAATTGAGAGGCCCAACAATATTTGGGATAGCGAGCCTCTTCTGCGGAGGCATCCGACAGAATCGCCCAGATGCATGATCCCTGATCCCTCGTGCGGAGACGGGTTACCGCAGCGAGGCCACAATAAAATTACGGGGTATTTTCTTCTCGATGATCATTTCCATAAAGGCGAAAAAAACGATCCGACGTCGTGTTTTTTTCAATATGCGGGGTCCCCAGAAGGGTCGACCCATTCCCCAGGACCGGATTTTTATCCTGAGTCGTTTTTGTTACGGTCCGGGGGCCCAGTGAGGGCCCCTGAAGGCCGAACATTGCGAAAAACGTCCGTCTTGATCGGCGGTGGGCAAACCTTCCTTTGATAAACCTCCCTTTAGTGAAAACGGCCTGGGACCGAAACCGACGGACCTGGACCCGCAAAAATCACGGCCACGACGCCCTCTCGCGAACCGAACACGGCCAATTCGCCAATCGACGTGTCAGGGTAGGAGATCAATCAACCTCCGACTTGATTTTTCAATGCGTGAGACGAGACGAGACGAGACGCGCGTGTCCGCCGGCAGGCGGGCACCTTAGGAGCGGGCGGGCGGGCCGCGGCCCGGTCAAATGTGCGTGCCCGCAAGGTTATCCTTCTCCCAACTGTTCCGGGTATGCGTGGTATCTCTGGGAGGAGGGCTGCAGGATGCGGGCATCAATGCGTGGCATCTCTGGGAGGAGGGCTGCAGGTATCTCTGCGTGGGATCTCTGGGAGGAAGGCTGCAGGCTGCGGGCAGAGTGGCAGGCTGCCCGCGGCCGCCAGGGCGCTGTGGGCCCGCCCCTCCCCGCAGCAGCGGCCGCTCCCCCGTGCAACCCCGGGCGGCCCCGGCCTCCACGCGGGCGTCCTCGCGGGCGGGGCGCCGCCTCCGCCCCCCCCCCTCCTCCTCCTCCTCCTCCTCCTCCTCCTCCTCCTCCATCCATCCTCCTCCTCCTCCTCCTCCCTCCTCCTCCTCCTCCTCCTCCCCTCCTCCTCCTCCTCCTCCCTCCCCCTCCTCCCTCCTCCTCCTCCTCCTCCTCCCCCTCCTCCCCCTCCTCCTCCCTCCTCCTCCTCCTCCTCCCCCTCCTCCCCCTCCTCCTCCTCCTCCTCCTCCTTTCGCCCCCCCCGCCCCGCGACGAGGCCAGGGCGAGGATCCCATCCCAGAGCCCCTCGAGCAGAGTGGAGAAAAGTCACAACGGGAGGCTTCTCGGCCACTTTCGGCCTCCGGGGGCCCTTATTACCGGGCCTCGGCACCCCCGACCCGAGGCGAGGCCAGGGCGAGGATCCCATCCCAGAGCCCCTCGAGCAGAGTGGAGAAAATCACGACGGGGGGTTTTTCGCCATGATGTTCGGCCTCCGGGGGCCCTTCTTACCGGGCCTCGGGACCGTCAGAAAACGACTCGGGATGAAAATCCGGTGGAACACAGTCGGGGCGTTGACGTAAGGAACCCTAAATAAGGAACGGGGCCCCTTTTCCCCATAAGTTCAACCTCGATTTCCCATGGAAAACCTCAGGAAAACCCGAGGCAAACTTTGCAACAATCAAGGAACACCGAGCCCCTCCCCAACAAAAAGGGTTCCTTCTTCAGGGCCCCGACTGTAGGTCGAAACCTCTGGGGGCCGACGTCATGAACAAATCCGCCGACCCCTTGGGGATCATCGGCGTGTGAGATGCTTCCCCCTCCCCAAACCCCTCCCCCGGGAGCCCGGTCCGGTCGATTTGGAAGGGGGGGGGGGGGTGGAGCGCGAGCGGGGGGGGGCCGGGACGAGCGGTTCACGAGGCTTTTCCGAGCCCAAGAGGGCCTCAAGACGGGCCAAGAAGCCCCCAAGAGGCCTCCAAGACGGCCCACGAAGGCTCCGAGACGCCAAACGACCGGTCCAAGACGCCCACGATGGCCCCAAGACGGGCCAAGAGGTCTCCAAGACGGCCTCCGAGGTCCCAAACAAGCCTCCCAAGAGGGCCCAAAGAGTCTAAAATTGTTGATTTTCCCGAGTGTTTTTCGACGTTTCTTGCTTTCCCGCCTTTCCGGCTTCCCGACGCTCCAAGACGGCCAAAGAGGCCCCAAAGATAGCCCCAAGATGGCCCAAGAGGCCCCCAAGACGGCCTCCAGACGGCCCAAGACGGCCCCAAGACGGCCCAAGAGGTCCCCAAGACGGCCCAAGAGGGCCGATTTGGAGGGGGGG